AGTAAAACGACATATTTTTAAACTTTAGTTATTTTTCATAGAATAACTTGTGTAGGTTAGGTTAGACGGTAAAGCGACATATAGACCGCTCTATATTTAATTTCATACGATAAAACAATCTCTTATTGTTCAAAACAAATGAAACCTCTTGAAGGAATAAGATTAAGCCTCAAAGGAACATCATTCACACGAACACTTTTACAAATTTCCCATAGTTGAATGCATATGTCCATAGGTTATCTCTAAGCATACACGCGTTCACCGAGAAACAAAAACGTATGGTTCACCATACGACAAAGGCGTTAGAAAGTTCGGGATCGCAGTTTTTCGGCCAGAAAGAAATACCGTTAAGATGTGCCAGCGATTACCTGTTCGAATACAGCCTCTAAGACACAGGCTCCGTGGGCCAGCCAACTTAATTGTTTGCCAACCCGTGTCCGGTTTTTGTTGGACACTCGTCAAGGTGGCAAAAGCTTTCACGCTCAAACTCGACCGTAATCTAAAGCGAGGAGACAGAGAGGTGGTTGCGCGGCTGGTGTGTTTGCTCTGTCGGTAACCTTTGGACTTGGCCCCCCCGAAGGCCGCACTTTTCAGCGTCATAAATCTCGGTTCGAATCCCCTTTTCCTGGGATGTGTCTACCTGCGCGGTTCTATTAGCGGATTTCGCCTCGAATAGGCCATCGTCTTCTCATGTTGGTCAGAATTTCTAGGATTCGTTTCGTGAGAAGGTAGCCACAATATATGCTTCTTCCTTACCGATAGGATCCAGTTCGACTTTCGAGAGAATTGTAACGTTCTTTTCCTTGACCACGTTCAGGATGCTTCAAGTAGAGAGGATCTTTTAGCATGTTGTTGGAGAATCGAGCACTTCGTATGCTGTACGAGTGTCGTTTGGAATGCTGAGGATGTGTGTTCGGAATTTAAGGAGTAATGGGCGGAATTATGCGTGTATATGGTGGAAGTTATGAAGGTAAATTTGGATACAATGAGAATGAGGTTAATACATGTTCGAGAATAGTTGCAGTTACTAATGTAAAGTGTAATGTTTGACTTTCTAATAAGATTTCTTTCTGGAAGAATGTTTAGATAGGTGTTCAATGAAAAGTAATTAAGTTTGTGCCATGATTGTTCATATATTATTAGTGATAAATTCAATGATAGACAACTTGAGAAACGTTAAAGTACAAGTAGGTACAAATGTTGGTATCGTAGTATTTCTTAAATTGCATTTTCCATTGTTGTTATCCAAACTTTTATTCATTACATACTTTATCACATTTCCTTGAGCCTATTTTCCCAGTAAGCATTATACTATCAAGTGGCTCATTTTTACCATATGTACGTGGATACTCAGGAAACATCGAATTAATCTCAGTATCGATCAATGACTTATTAGCAATAATTTGAAAAGAGAAAAATTAGCAATCACACTAATACAACCGTGATGTTTATTTTTCCAGAGTACAAATTCTCGATGTACACGCCGAGCATGATCGCGGCGGCAAGCGTCGCGGCGGCCCTCCACGGTCTCGATTGGACTGGGAAAAGCGGTTACGGGCTGGCCGGCCTCCTCGACGAGCTAACCCGCATCACGGCTATCGAACAGGTTTGTCCTCGTGTTGATATTATTACACGACACTCGAGAAAAAACCTCGGATAGCAGTGTTAAAGAGTAGATTTAATCGCGACTTCGTTTGCACCCGGTTTACCTAAAGTGTCGGAAATGAATGTCGCTTTGATAGTCGCTGTCATCCTTCAATGATCAAACGAGTGAGTTGCACCGATTATTTTTATTCAATTGCAGACAGACCAAACGAGATACAAGGGGGAAACATTCTTTTTTCTTTTTTTATCGTCGGCTTTCACGAGACAGTTTATGCAACCTAACCTAACTTAACTACGAGACGAGAGATTTTCAATTGCAACGGTTTATTTTTACGAATATGCGAATCGATGAAATTTTCACGTGTTTGGACGAAATATCTGAGGCAATTTGTCAATGTCAAATTGTATTTCTGATGATATTTTAGATCGCTGTAATATTCTGATTACACGATCGCGGAGATCTTTCTCTCGTGCTCGCGAAACGTCGTCGACAGTCACTTTTGAATAATTGGCTATTACGTCCATAGTAATCCTGTTGCTACTTTTACTCGTTCTATACGTGTAGAACTGCATACACTGTGGAGAACACGATAAGACGCGGTGTCGAAGATAATACGAGTAAAAATATGGATGACGTCTTGTCCAATATTCTTCGTTCTTTTTGAAATACGTCGTTACACGCACCGGTCTGAAAGTCGAATTCTCATTGCTTTTCATCAATGTTCTTACACTTAAACCAAAAGTATTTGAACAATTCATAAAAATGAAGTTAACCATATTTTCCTGTTTCTATTTGAAAATCTTTTGCACAGTTTTAATCGACATTACAAATGTTCTTTGCATTTCAAAAGCATCACGATGACGTCATAAAAAGTTTACTGCAAACTTACGTTATTTCAAGGTTATGTTATGTTACGCGAAGTATAAAGGGTTAAAATAATTCAGTCAATCTTTTATCTTAATAATTTATTTTAAGATAATTAAAATAATTTCCTCTGTTATAAATTCAATTCTGAAGCATAGTCTCTATTCTTTCTCTAATTGCACTTTCTGCGCATGCTCGCGAAATGCACTGATTAAGATCATGCCAGGACACGTTCCCTTTGGCAAGAATCGACGATTCTCGAGATTATGAATGAAGAGAGGGGCAGGTGGCCAAGATAATTCTTGGAACGTTCTTCCTGCTTCTAAACACATGTGGTCGGCGAAAATATTGCGTTTACAGGCCGTAGACCCCATGCCGAGCCATTCACGCGTGCACTTTATTTGCACTCGGCGCATTATGAATGTATAGTCTGCGCGTGTTTCGAATCGTCTTTTCCCTCTCTCGTCATGCTGGCCGTTTTTTCCCGTAAACATGTGCCCGACACCTGCTACACGCCGTCATCGGCACGTTTTTGCGCGACTGACTGGCTGGATTCGCGAACGATCTCTCAGGAACTGTTTCTTGAAAATTCTTCGTCGATGGAGATTGAAGATCATGCTTCTCGATTAATTCTCGATTCATTAATTGTATCTCAGTTATGAAAGAAATTAAAGGTCATGTTTGAAATTCATAAAAATTAATTGTTTCTTGGTTATTTTTTTATTTTTATTTTTTTTTCGTAAAAACGGGAATTTAATATAATAAGGTTAATTAATATCATATTAAAATAAACAATTATTGCTTATTTTGAAATAGTTAATTTTGTTTATTTTATTCATTAGATACGAATATTAAGTATCTTGCCATTGGTGTCTGCATTGGGTGTAAATACAAATAAAAAGTTAAATCTAGCTCCTTTTCACTTACAGGGTGTTTAAAAAAATATGAACACTTTTATGGAAGTAATTTTTTTTAGATAAACAGAATTGAAAACATTAACAATATAATATATTCGGTCTTCACTTGTTCACCATCGTTTTCAACACATTCTGGGAATCTGAAGTCGACACAGTTTTGCAAAGAAGATAAAAGAGTACAAATTCTCCATATAAAGGTTAACACTTTTTTCAAGCACCCTATACAAGAACTAAAACATTCCAGAACTAACAAACTTACCATCAGCCCAATGAAATCACATTTGAAAGAAAAAAAAAAACATCAGTTCTAAACAAAATGATTATTCTTTCAGGATTATCTGCAAGGTTGCCTGGAGCAGATCGAGGAAATGGTCTCGCAAGCGGTAGGCGCGGATGGTACTGGTGGAAGAAACAGTCACCAGGTGAGCGGAACATCAATCTCCAGTGCACCACAGAGGCCTCTGGGGGACGAGATTACCAGCCAGGAGAAGATCCTGGAACACGAGAAGGCGGGCACGCCGACCGACGTGAGGGATGTCCATTTTTGAGAGACGCCGCTGAGGGAAACTCTGGCCAGGGTGACTCTCTGCTGAGCCTGGAGGCCGAGGAACAAGCGATACCCAGCAGCGACGACGACGCTGATGGACCCACGGCCAGGAAGCGAATCAAGAGAAACGAGGAGGAGAAGCTTGAAGGAGGAAACACGCGAGAAAATTCCTAAGGGAGGAACAGATACACTCGCATAGAAGGGACATAGAGAAACATATAAACGGTATGCTTGCTCAACCGAATCGTCGTTCGGTTTCCCTTCATCAACATTGTGAACGAAATCGAGAAGAAAAAGAAGAAGAAGAAGAAGAAGAAGAAGAAGAAGCAGAAGAAGAGACGATAAAGTGTGTTTCGTACACTCTATACGGATTCTATATATTCGTCGCGAAGATTTGTCGAATCAGGGAACGTCGAACATTTTTTCTACGAATCACCACGTCCTCCCTGTATATCGCATTCGAACTGAAAGAATCACATTCGTCATCGATAGCCGATCCTCGATAACGAGGAACAATTATTTTCCATATCGAGAGGTCACGATCGATGAAGAAACATTTGTGAGATCATTGCACGTTTTAACTCGGTCTTTGTTATAAGTTTTACTCGAAGATCGAACAACGATAAGGTGATCGATCATGTTGTTCTGAACGAATTGTGATTCCGCGTGCAGAATCTTCTTCTTTTTTTTTTAAATGTATGTATATGTAATTGTATATGTATATGTGGAAGGTCGGACGGTGAAAATGAGGGCCCAAGGGTTTTCGACGGGCCCGCTTTGTTATTTAGTTGTACGCATTTTTTATTTGCAAAGATCGTGCGTACCCGAGACACGTCGGGTTTAGGATCGGTTTTGTTCTCTTCTTCAGAGACTGCGCGTCCGTCTCAAATCAGGATCTACAGTTTCCACTTTTCCTTTTATTATACATATTTTTCTTTTTTTTTTTGTTTGCTACTTTTTTTCGTGGAATTTTCGACGCCACCCGGTCTGCGTCGTGATTCATTTCGTCGTAGCTTCATCAATCGAGGATGCTAAAGAAAGTCTAGAGAAGTAAATATTTTTATTTCTTCGTTCGAGTGTATTGATTAGGTGATTTTAACCCTCTGTAAGTGTAACGATCTTTTTTTCGGTCATCGAAGAAAGCTTTATAATTAGAAATATCATAATATAATAATTATAAAGAAGAGTTGAAATGTGAAGATTTGGTCATTTGATACTGAGAAAGATTGAAGTTTTATTCAAAAAACGACTGTCACGGTGAAAATTCAGAAACCTCTGAGGATCCAGGTGTTCTATTTTCGTTTCTGCTCGAAGCATTCTTACAATTATGAAGCAGTGTGAAACTTTCACGTTAATGTTAGCCCATGATTGACTCTCTTTTCGTTAATCTGGGGCTGGAAAGGAAAGAAAGGAATTTGATCTGCAGAGGGTTAATGACTGATCGATAAAAAATGTTCCCGAAAGGAACAAACATAAATTGCATGTAGTTTAGAAACTCAGTGTTATAAATCTCACGGAAGAAGAAAGAAAAATGTATTATTAAGAATGAGATCACTGAGAATGCTCGAACGTAAGGAAATAAATGAAAAGAATTTGTAAAAACAAGAAGAATAGAAAACGAGACAACATAAGCTATTGTTAAACTGTAAATATCTAAAAGCATCCTCGAAAGAAGCCTCATGTTGTAGAAGATATTAAAAATTTCAAAGAATTTCGAGGAGGGCTGAAGGAGAACCAAGATCGCAAGTAGGAGAGAGGAGACCGGAAGGCGTGCCTACGTTGAGGGAAGGCAATGCAATACGCTTCACGCATCAATTTTGTAATAGAATTGTACACTTAATTTTTAGTAGCCGGACGACGAAACTACCACGCCAATTTTTGTACTGTTTAAAAGTGTAGAAAGAGAAGGAGAAACGCGGGTTTTCCTCCTCCGTGAGACTAAAAAGAGAAAGAGAAGAAGAAAGAAAGGAAAGGAAGAAGAGGGAGAGAGGGAGAGGGAGGGAGATAGAAATAATAAGAAGAAAACCAGAAAACAAGGGAAAAAATGCACATAGTCATGTCGAGTCACTTAGTGTTTTGTACATAGGTATACATAC